GCTCTCCCGCTCCCTTCCACTCTCAGTTTGTTCTCTGCATTTAAATGTCTCTTACGGTTTGTCTCCCTCTCTGTTTGTGACTGTCTATATTTTTTTTCATTCCTTTCCCCCATGGCTTTCTGTTAAGTTTTTCAACTTCCACATGTGAGTGAAAACATGATTGTCTGTCTTTCTCTGGCTGACTTATTTCACTCAGCATAATACCCTCCAGTTCCATCCACGCTGTTGCAAATGGCAGGATTTCATTCTTTTTCATTGCTGAGTGAGTATTCCATTGTATGTATAAACCACATCTTCTTGATCTATTCATCGGTTGATGCACATTTGGGAAAACATCATTTTTAACAGTTAAACGTGTATAGTTGCTGATCTAGAGAAATAATAAAGAATAATTCTTCTTAGTGAGATATAATCAATATAGTGTCATTTGGAAATAAGAATTGCAGCTATAAAGTGATGGTGAAGGGGCTTGCTCAGGTTCCAATTCAACTGCATTATCTGAGAGGAAAAACAAAGATAAAATACATCTGCGAGCAAAATTTGATTTAGATACTGAAAGTTGCAAATATTGAATCTAAATGTGACATTGGCTGACCAGCAAGAGGACCACACTGCTCTGCTACAGTAATGGTAATATAATCATTTCCCCCTTTAAAACTCCCTGGCCTCCTATTACCTGGGGTTTGGGGCCACGTAGAAACCATGTAAAGCATGACTTCTCTAATGCCAGATGCCAAAAGGCTTTGGAGCCTGGGAAAAACTGGCATGATTGGAACTTGTAAGGGACAAGTTTCCACATATCTACAGAAAGCACATTGGCCTGATAGATTTTTGTAGCAGAAGTCACTCATTCACTTTAGTTTATATGACTGCATTGCCATGTGATAGCATATGGGGCCTTATGGAGAGGGGACATCAGCCTGCACACACTGTTCTTTCTGGGGAAGCTTTTCTTCTTTTTCTCCTCCTCTGTCTCCTCTGCCTTCTGTTCGTCCTCCTTTTCCCTCTCTTCTTCTTAGTTTTCTTCTAGGAAAACATCTTATAAAGAGTTGTACATGTCTATCAATAAAAATGAGGGACAGGAATCAAATAAGGCTACCTATCCATCCGGGACAGAAAATCAGATTTAACATGCCACAATATCATTCAGTAATTGATTTTCAAGGAGAGAACTCTCTTAAGCACCCATTACAGTTTTAGAGAGAGATTTATAGAGAGAGAGCAACTTGACATGATGTAAGAAAGCTAGAGGGTTGGCGAGCCCAAGATGACTCTGGATGGCATGATGGGGAAGCCAGGCCGAGTGGGATTTTCTTGCATGTTCATTTTTAGGATGGAAAGCAAAGTCAGTATATTCTTACCCAGATGGCCACTCTGCTTCCTGATCTACAAATCCAGCGGCTACTTAATTTTGTTTTCAAATATCACATGTCAGCCTTATCTATCAAAGAATAGATAGGTATTTGAAATTATTTATTGTGTGCTTCTTGAGTTTGTAATTTTACCTTTGAAAGGAGACCATGAGTACTTATCTTAGTCTTCTAAGATATTAAGCCTGAAATAATAAAAGGAGAAAATACTGTCAGTTCTCAGTGATTGGCTGGGACGACCGTGGGAAAGGGATCCCTTTGGCATCTACTTCAGTGAGTCAAAGCTGCAGATGTGGTCCAGCCTCACGGACTTTCTGGAAGACACCTTGAAATCAGTAAGGAAACAGTTAAGTCCTCTCTTCAAGGAGTTGCAAAAGAACATCAGCGCCAAGATAATAGGTAAGAACTCTTGCTACTTTTGTTGCAGGTGAGTTATGAGGCTTGTTCTGCTTCTGGAGCAAATACAAGTTTAGGAATGGCTCAAGCGAACGTTGACCTTAGCACCTGTTCAGTAAAACTTGATTCCCTTTGTCCTTCATATCTCCTTTCGAATGTAAGGAATAGCCAATGAGAACAAATACGCTCATCTTCAAAATGCTGAAGCTAGTTCATTTTATTTATTTTTTTTTTTAATTTTTTTTTTCAACGTTTATTTATTTTTTGGGACAGAGAGAGACAGAGCATGAACGGGGGAGGGGCAGAGAGAGAGGGAGACACAGAATCGGAAACAGGCTCCAGGCTCTGAGCCATCAGCCCAGAGCCTGACGCGGGGCTCGAACTCACGGACCGTGAGATCGTGACCTGGCTGAAGTCGGACGCTTAACCGACTGCGCCACCCAGGCGCCCCAAAGCTAGTTCATTTTAAATGATACCGTCTTACTAATCCTGTGCCAGGCAGTTGACCTAGACAAAACTCACTAAGTGTTTGCTAGGCCAGGGGGCTCTGCCCTGTTCCCCACCACAATCTGCTCTAAAAGGTAAGCTCCTCTTAGACACAGCACCCATTACTTAAATTGTTCTGGGGTGGTGTTCTATTTATTTTCTATATAAAATACTCAATTTGGTGATGGGCTCCATGGTCCTCCGCTGAGCCTACTGGCATCACTGAATTTATTTTCCCATTCACACTCCTTACTCATGACTGATTTATCACAATAGAGTCTTGGAAACAGTTTTCTGTATTGGACCTTCCCCTAAGTCAGTCCCTCCTTTAAAATGAGGGTTTTTTTTGTTTTGGTTTGTTTTGTTTGTTTATCATCTGGTAAACCCTCCCGTCTTTAACTACCTATTCGATTTATCCCTAACTGTTCCCATCTACCTTTTTTTTTTTTTTTCAACGTTTATTTATTTTTGGGACAGAGAGAGACAGAGCATGAACGGGGGAGGGGCAGAGAGAGAGAGGGAGACACAGAATCGGAAACAGGCTCCAGGCTCCGAGCCATCAGCCCAGAGCCTGACGCGGGGCTCGAACTCCCGGACCACGAGATCGTGACCTGGCTGAAGTCGGACGCTCAACCGACTGCGCCGCCCAGGCGCCCCTGTTCCCATCTACCTTAAACACCCCTGAAATCAAGCCAGTAGTTAGTTGTGTCTTACTTCTTCCTTCCCTTCCCTGCCCTGTTTCTTATTGATGTCTTTTGCCACAATACCTGTCTGTACAAGAGCCATAAAACACAGCTATACATGTAGATATTTTACGTCAATATATGTTCTGCATCTCTTTACATCAGTGCCTCCAAAACAGGGCAAAACTGGGAGTGCTATTCTTGGTTTTACGTACTATCCACTTGACCACATTTAGTGGATGTTCAGCCAATACTGAAAAATGCTTATGAGGCTATAAATAGGGAGAAATTATTTCTCCTGGTTTTTTCATAGGTATTAAGGACCAAAAAGAAAAGCGAGAAAGTTAGCTTTTTCAAGATAGAAGAATTTTTTTAATGTTTATTTATTTATTTATTTATTTATTTATTTATTTTCAGAGAGAGAGAGAGAGAGAGCAAGCACACGCAGCAGAGAGGCAGAAAAAGAGGGAGGGAGGATCCCAAGCAGGCTCCATGCTGTCAGCACAGAACTTGATGTGGGGCTTGATCCCACGAACTGTGAGATCATGACCGGAGCCAAGATCAAGAGTTGGACACTTAATCGACCGAGCCACCCAGGTGTACCAAGAGAGAATTTTTAAATAATATTTGTAAGCAAGAAGAAGTTAAATGGAATAAAATCATTTTCACATAAATGTATGTTGTTTAAAACACTAAAAAACATGGGGCGCCTGGGTGGCTCAGTCGGTTGAGCGTCCGACTTCAGCTCAGGTCACGATCTCACGGTCCGTGAGTTCGAGCCCCGCGTCGGGCTCTGGGCTGATGGCTCGGAGCCTGGAGCCTGTTTCCGATTCTGTGTCTCCCTCTCTCTCTGCCCCTCCCCTGTTCATGCTCTGTCTCTCTCTGTCTCAAAAATAAATAAACGTTAAAAAAATTAAAAAAAAAAAACACTAAAAAACATAAAAGATGTCTGTGTAACTATGTTTGTATGTCATTTCCTGTAGACTTAAAGTATTTATGTACTTGAGCCCGTAGATAAAGGGGAGTGAGGAGACATTGTGGGTGGGATTGAGAATCTAAAATTTAAACTTACAAGATTTATTTTCACATGTTCCTTCCTTATTGCCCAATTTATATATTCTATTTAATATCAGCCTTACCAGGATGGGTACTTTTTCATATGCTGCACATTTGGTTACTCTTGGTCAATTTATATTTTATCACGGTAGATAGCCCCCATGGCATAGTGGAATTTTACTTTTTATTCTTCACATTGTTATCCACTAAAAAGCAATGGTGAGGATTGAATTGTTTTCTGCTTGATCACATCTCTTACATAAATCAATTACAAGGCAGATGGCCTTATATATTTGCAGGGCAATTCATGTTTGACCACATGAGTGTGGCTAACATTCTGAATAACCAAGAAATTGCACAAGCTCTGGCAGATGGATTGATGGAACTTTCAAAAGAAAATTCCGTAAGTGTTTCTTCAAAGAAAGCCAACCTTTTTCGTTTTTTTTTTCAAAGAAAGCCAACTTTAAAAACCCAATACTTAAATACATTTTTAGTTTGCATTGATTTTTTTTAAACCATATTATCCCTTTGTATGAACAATTCCTCTGAGAGATTATATCGGGTTGTAAAACACAGCCACTGAGAGATCCTGGACAATAAGAGAACCAAAATTAACTACAAAGTACCATTTACAGACATTAGTTGAATAATACTTACTTTGTTTCCTAGACTTAAATTAATTGGGTAGAAAGAAGAAAACGCTGCTCTTTTCTGCTGCACTTTGATCGACCTGTATTTCAGATGAATGTTTTAATTGGAATTTCTTTTTTTCTTCTGGTGGGGGGTTGATTTTTTTAGGACAAACCTCTGGAATTTTTGTCAAATTTTCTGCTGAAGAAAAGTAGTAAAGAAAGCAAGGATTTTGGAGAAGATGTTATTCTGACAAAATGTGACCCAAAAGCAACATTTGATTTATTCATGAAGGTAAGGTTATTGCTGTGCTGTTAGACACACGTGGTTAAGAAATTCATACACAGTAATGATAATTCTACTTGGAAAGCTTTCAACTTGTCATTTTTCCTACGAATTTCCTTTTCATGGATTATTATAAAAAAAGGGTGTTTTGTAGTTTCCTAATAAGAGTGAAGCCACTTAATGCCGGAAGCTGCACTCCTTGACTAGAGAGACACGGTCTGGGCCCCGGGAACAGAGTCTATCATTTGCATTAAGCAGCTCGCTCAGTGGAGTCCTGAGATTGATTCGAGAGAAAACTTAAGAAAAAATTTTTTTCAACATTTATTCATTTTTGAGAGACAGAGCAAGAGCAGGACTGGGCAGAGAGAGAGGGAGACACAGAATCCGAAGCAGGCTCCAGGCTCTGAGCTGTCCGCACAGAGCCTGACATGGGGCTCGAACCCACAGACTGAGAGATCATGACCTGAGCTGAAGTTGGACGCTTAACCACTCGCTGGGTGAGCCACCCAGACGCCCCAAGAAAATGGTTTCATTTGCAATCCAGGACACTTTTTTTTTTAAAGTAGGATGTGTTCTTTTCTTAGTTGAAATTCAGATTCAAAAAAGGAAAAAAAGGTAGGTTTGAAGCCAGTTCTTCAAGCAAACAAGAATAATTTTGCCAGTACTATGTTCAGAATCCACCCATTCTTGGTTCAGTGAAATAATACGGATTCAGGAAATACGGAAAACCGCATTGTCATTCAGAGAGCTGGTTTCTAAGAAAATATCACTTCAGATGATGTCCATAGAATGTCACGTGATGCCCATAGAAAAATCACCTCTTGCTTCAAGGCTGGGGACACGACCCCAAACACAAACTCACCATGGAGACTGTTAGTGGGAATAGACCTGTGAGTTCTATCAAGCAGGCAAATACCAGGCTATTAACCTGCTATTCCGGAAGCCTCTCTTCACACTTCTTTAGTGGACAGCACAGTGGAGGAGAGGCAACCACGGAGGACCTTCTGGCAGCAGCGTCCCCTCTGCCAAGTCCCCAGATTGCTCAGCAAAATGAAAGCCATGCAGTTATGCACACCCACCCCTTGGTTGTTACCAGAGCAGGACCCTTGGTTTAACCTGCCCCCCACCCCCCCGAAGTGACTTATTTTTCTCGAGCACAAGCTTCCTTTCGAAGAAGAGTCTTAACACATTTTCAGGGACATCTAAGCCTTTTATAGGTCAGAGCCCTGCTTCCCTCATGCCCCATCTCTGAATCTGTCTTTTCAAAAGACTCTTGCAGACCATGCATTAGTCAGGTTCTCCAGAGAACCAGAAGTAATAGGAGATATATATACGTATATACATATATATGTGTGCATTGTGTATATATGTATATATATGTGTATATATATGTATATATGTGTATATATGTATATACATATATAATATTTAATTTAATTTTAATATATATTATGTCTAATATATCTAATATGTATATTTATCCGCACTGTCAGCACAGAGCCCGGTGTGGGGCTTGAACCCACAAATCGTGAGATTGTGACCTGAGCGGAAATCAATAGTTGGACGCTTCACTGACTGAGCCGCCCAGGCGCCCCTAAACATCTAATCACTTTAATAAAATAACACAGAATGTTTGGACTTCAAGTTGCCTCATTGCTGGGAAGCAGGCCTGCTAATGTCACATCACCTGCCAGTAATAGAAGCACAGAATCGGAAGACTCAGTGCCTAGAAATTTCCTTGATTTAAAACAAAAATCAAATTAGGAAAAATATGTGTTACATTCTTATTTGGTTTTCTGTTGTTTACTACTTAAGAGTCTGTGCACAAACCCCACGAAACAAAGTTGGGGACTTCCAGGAAGAAAAACCACAGCTTAAACATAGGTGTGGAATTAGGATACAATAGAGAAATCGAGTTTCTCCACACATCGGAGTTTATTTTTTAAACTGTAGATACTGGGGTGTCTGGGTAGCTCAGCGTCTGATTTTTTCTCTCCGTTCAGGTCCTGAGCTCGGGCTCCTGAGTTCAAGCCTTGGATTGGACTCCGTGCTGGGCATGGAGCCTACTTAAAAACGGCAAACACATAAATAGTAAATAAACTGTAGATATTTGTCCTGAAGAACACACAAACTTAACAGCCATAGGAATGGAAAATAACAGTTTCTGCTGAGATAATTGGTTTAGACCATTCCATAGGGGATTCTGTAAGAGGACTTGCCTGCCAAATCCAGGACCAGACACACACACACACACACACACACACACACACACATGCACACACAGAGCTGTGTCTGAAGGTATGACCGGGCAGGGCCTACCCTCCATCCAGATGGCCCAGACTCTGCCCATATATGTATATACAGATAGAGGTATATGCACATGTCTGTCTGTCTATCTGTCTACCTACCATCTGTCCAATCAGATCCTATCTGTCTCCCTGGGCAGTAGTGACTCACTCTAGTGTTTACACTGATACTGTACAACCATGGCAACAGGTTACAAGCAGACCCATGGTTGTTCCTGAGTTCTACCTGTCATTTTCACAGCTATTTCTGCCCCTAATTCAGGCACTGAGTGTCTTGTGGGAGAAGCATCGGCAATAATCTGGAAAAGGCAAACAAGGTAGGAAAGTCATCAGTGGCCTCCCTTATATGTCATGGAGGGAGCGAAGGCACAGGCCCACCAGCCCCAAACAGTAGTTTCCTTATAAATGTGCCAAGTTTGTTGCCCCGTCACCTCCTCTGAGTTCATCCCTAAAAAGAAAATAAGGGATGATGTCTTAAATTTAAAAATCATCTCTGAAATGTAACGAAATCATACGTATCGTATACAGTGAGAAAACTTGTTATTTTTAGATTCAAACAAAATTCACACGCCAAATCAACTTGCTATCCACAAAGCAAAATTGATGCTTAATAAAAGTGGCTGCTGCTGAGCCAGAGGTGAAGCAAAGCCCCAGTGTGAGTGAACAGGTTCTCTATAACCAGGGTGGTCCGGGGGGCCGTGCAAAAGCACTCGTGCGAGCCTGCGCAACGGGATGATGTCCCGGGTGAGGCGGTCTCCCTTATATGTGAGATCCACAGACGATTCTGTCCCGTTTCGATTCTCTTAACCTTGGGCCAGTTTGAGTGTCGTTCTCATTGCATGTCTGCAGCCACGTCTATCTTTACAACTATTGGTGTCATTGTCACCACTGACGGCTTGAAGTCATCATGTCTCTATTAAATCACCAGCACTGCTGTTTATGCTGAAAGAAGAGAGTGTGTTCCATTCATAGAAACTTTGATTTTGCCAGGATTCAAAGTAGATTCCTGCCCCCTTCCCCACCCCCAGCAGAAGTATAAACACATGGCAGGCTAACAGGGGACATCCACAAATGGGGGACGCAAAAGAAATGGTGGAAAGACTCTGGGGCAGCTGCGAAGTGCGCAGGCTCAGGTGGGACCTCTGCAAGCCGGGGAGAAGCCAGCTGACTGCGGCTGGGGGACCAGGGCTCTTACTTCGGGTAGCCATAAAGAACGGCTGCAGTTACAAAACAAAAATTCCTTTTGCCTGAGTAGAATAAGGCAAAAACCACAAAAAACAAAAACAAAGTCTTGGTTATACACTGATTTTTTTTCCCACTCTCGCCATAGAACTGAAGGGGTTACCATGAGTAGTTTTATCTTTGACTAGGAAAGGCAGCGGTGATGAGCAGGAATCATCCTTACCTCTCACCACAAACCCGGGACCATTGTTCCCTTGCTAGGGAGGACCCTGCAGGCAGCAGGTGGGACTTTTTTTTTGTTTTTTTGATGTGCTACTTTATGTGAAAGCCACAGGGAACATGAAGAAAGAATAAGCTATATTTAAATGTGGAAACAGGTGCTAGAGAGCGCATGTGGATCGTTTCTGACACATCTTCATTAGAGTAAAAAAAGGGTGGATTTTACAAAGTGCTGTGCCCTTTTTCTTCTGGCCATTTTATTATTTTTTCTAATGTTTACTGATTTATTTTTGAGGGAGAAGGGAGAGAGTGAGAGCAGGGGAGGGGCAGAGAGAGAATCCCAAGCAGGGTCCCCGCTGTCAGCGCAGGGCCCATTGCAGGCTGGATCCCATGACCCCGGGATCAGGGCCTGAGCCAAAATCAAGAGTCAGACACTTGGCCAACTGAGCCACCCAGATGTCCCTTCTGGTAACTTTAAAAGTAAGATAAGCCATTTGTCCTCAACTGACAAATGACAGCAGAATTGAGGCAGAGGCCTGGAATGTGTGGGATTCCTCGTGCCTCAGTGAGCAGATAAGCCCCCCCCCAACCCCCTACCTCGCCCCCCCCACCCCGCCCAGCCTCAAGGAGCAGGGTCTCTCTCCTGCCTCCCAGGGAGAAGGGGGCTGCACTAAATTCAGTTTCTCAAGTATAATGTAGTTCCTAGGAAGCTAAAGTTTACTTTTTTTAACATAAGATTTAATTTAAGAGAGTCATCAACTGTGTCAAGTGCTTAGTTCATTGTGTCTGGGGAGCACCGTGGTTGGGGCTGAAGGCAGACAGCTACTGAAAGCCTCCCGTAGGCACAGCACCCACTGGGCATTTAGACATCCCAAGGCCTGCCTCCAAATAATCAAGTCTGCATTTAATCCTCAGGAAAGAAATGTTAGAGAAGACAACCCTCAGGACGCAAAATCAAGTCTCAGCAAAGACGATCTAAATTTTGAGACGCTGGTTAAGCTGGTAAGCCAATGATTATATAGTAAGAATTCTCCATTGTTTTGCTCCTGACACCCCCCCCCCCAAAAAAAAAAAGCGTCAGCCTTTATTCTGGTTCTTTTTTCTTGACAGTTTCCCTTAGGGGGGAAAAACTTAAATATAAGTGAGGGAATCCAACAGGTAGATTTTTCTTTTGAATCTGTCCTGGTCTGAAAAGAAATTAACCAAGAAATTAACTAATTAACATCTTGGGAGCAAGAGCCATCTCTGTGCTACTCTGATTTTTTTTTTCTTTCCTTTTCCTTTAAAAAAGTTTTTTTTTTTTTAAATTAGAGAGAGAGAGGGAGACACAGAATCCGAAGCAGACAGAGCCCAACCCAGGGCTCTGGGCTAGAGGCCCATGAACAATGAGATCATGACCTGAGCCCAAGTCCAACATTTAATGACTGAGCCACCCAGACACCCTACTCTGATTTTCTAATATGACAGGAGGACAGCATTTAGAGAAATGGCACACGGACATAAAGCTTCACAGTTTCTAAATGACCCACCAACTCGTAGTCTGACTTCGAAGGCTGACTACAACATTCAGGGCCCTGTCTTTCTGTTTCCAAAGGGGAGGGCATGGAGGAGGTCGAGGCTTGGTCCCATCCTGCCCTAACACACAGCACACACAAGCTGCTTTGCCTTTCTTCATCCCACGTTCGCAAATTCATCCTGTTTTCCTTTTCACAATCCCTTAAGGTAGATGTTAGCGACCACATTTTGTAGATGAGGAACTACGGTTAGAACACTTAAATGACTTCCCTAAAGTCACATGGCCTGCTGAGAAAGAAACTTGAATCCCACAGCCCTGAGCTCAACTGTGGAGTTCCTTCCCAAGCCTGGCCATGCTCTGGGGAATCCACCTGCCACAGTGTTGCCCGTGTGGACCTCATGGTGTGGGTGCTCACTCACCCTCGGGTACACCCCCTGGAATCACCAGAGAGAAGGGGGTTCACATAGCGCCATGAATATGAGAGTATCTCATCTCACTGTTGGTCACAACACCTGACAATGGTTTTAAGACAATAGGTTTGACAACTGAAACCTTAATTTAAAATGATTAAAAATATTGGAGAACTCCAATATTTTAAAAACATTTGTACACATAAAAGTATAATACGGGCTCCAAGCCAGCTGCCAGGTGGGGCTATAAATGTATTTTTTTTTTTTAACTCATTAGGAATGTCTAAATGGGTATGATATAGATAGATAGATAGATAGATAGATAGATCCTGTGTTTGAAAGATAAAACTTTACCAAAACAGCGTGTTTATAGTATTTCATAGAGTGAGTTTTCTGGTTTTTCTCTTACATTTACTTTATATTTGAATTCTGGTTCATGAAGTTATGGTTGATTTGTTTTGGGCAAAGATCACATGGCATTACACTTCGTATTGTTAGATTTCATTTGGGGCGGTGTGGGGCATCCGAGGGCTTAAGGGAGAAGGAGAAATTGTGTTCTAAGAGTATTAATAGCTCTAGGCTCAAACACAAGGCCATTGCATTTTTAAAAATTAAATATTTTCATTGTTTTCTATTGTAAGGATACTCATTTTCCAACTTTTGAAAAGTACAGATAGAAGAGAAAGAATTACTTAGTCCCAGCACTGAAAATCAATTTCGAAGCAGATTAGTTGATAGGAGGGTTAGCTCATTTCACTTCTTCTGTCTGCAGTGTTGTCAATAAAACACTATAAATCAGTCAGTAAACACTGGGGAAAAGGCACAGGAGAGCAATCAAGAGTGGGCAACCCAAAGGCTTCCTCACTGGACTATCACCATCATGAAGGCGAGGCTCTGTGCCCTCCCATCGTTGTGTAGTGACCACCTAGCACGTGTCACCGAATACGTATTCAAGTAGACCAGATGGATAGACATCGAGCCTCAGTCTGGCCCCCTCGGGATCCAAGACTGGCCCGATGGGAGGGGCTAGTTGGTGATACCGGATCAAGCCGTGGTCAGCAGGGTCCACCACAGTCCCCTATCAAGGTCCCCTTCAACCTTGTATGCTGTAAACCCCAAAGGGGGAATCTCAGAATGACCGCCCGACTGTTCCGTCGGTCATTTCTCTGCCTCCTTCAGCTTTCAGGCTCTTGGAGGCTGTAAACACGGAAAGAGTCATTCTGCTTTCCCTGTGAGTCCTTAATGCCTTTCTACAGGAGAGAAAGCTCCAGATGGACTCGGCTGGAAAGCGAACGGGGGTTGTCAGGGAACTCTTACGGAGTGAGAGAAAATATGTACAGATGCTGGAAACGGTGAGAGAGGTCTACGCAGCACCACTGCAAGCAGCCCTGTCATCAAATAGAGCGATTCTGAGTGCTGCAAATATCCGGATCATTTTCTCCGACGTTTTGCGGATTCTAAGTCTCAACAGGTAAACTCTGTGTAGGCATTTCTTCAAATATTCACTCATCATGCCTTGGGAGGAGCCCACCCTTAATTATTTCAAAAGCTGTACAGAGGCTCTTCTCCGCCCTGCTCAGAGCCCCTGATCATCTCACGAGAGAGGACTCTTGCTGCTGGGCTGCGACCAAGAGTGAGAACTCCTGGGGGCTTATCCCTGCCTCAGTTCGATGCTGTGGTTCAAGGAGTGGAGCTGAGTGCCTGGGGATTTTGTATTCACTATATTGTTCACGCAGAAGGTGATGGGAAGAACTCTCTGTTTTGTTTTGTTTTGTTTTGTTTTGTTTTGTTTTTGAGATGGTGGTGGGGAGGGTGCGGGTAGGGGCAGAGAGAGAGAGA